TCTCACGTACATTGATCTCGTGATTGTTCAATAAATGTTAACTGTAAATGCTATTTATTATCATTTCTGATTTTTTTTTAATCTGTTTATAAACTCGCATGTGTAAAATAATCATAGCTACTGCATTTTGTAGCTTTAAATGCACCAGCAATGAGGGTATTGCGGCTTCATCTGCTAAAGCTATGGCTATTGCTTTTAGAGCTGGAGGGATTTTTTTATATATATCTGTGAACTACAGTTTTTAAGAAAATATAAAACCTTTTCCCTGAACATGGCTTCAAGAAAGTGTGTAAATCATGATAACAACAGCAGGGGGCAGCAGGTTTGACCCCTCAGAGTATTAACAACAGACAGAACAAGATTAGATATTAGAAAACTAAAAGGAAAAACAGAGTAGTGCAAATTAAAATAAGTATTGTTTCTATATTGTCCTCAGTTTATGGTCTAATCAACCACTCAGATCTTCAACGTAGTGCCCAACTTTTTTGTTTTAACCACAGGGTCTAAGAGTAATAATGGACTTCCTGTGTCAGCATGCAGGCTCAACAGGCTGAAGCAGATACAGCGGCCTAAGAGTTGTCACCTCGTGTATTTCTGTCTTTATTTCATATATATTCCTATATCTTATCATATTTTAGCTGTTATTAACCTCTATTTAAACCTTCACAAGATCGTATTATTAGCCAGCCAGAGTCTGTAGCCAGATTTAAATGGTTCGTAAAGGTAAAATGATTATAAATATGCTCTCGATTAGGTGGCAATGGTGCGTTCAAGAATTTTGGATAAAAACAGGGTATTGTAGCAGTGTAACCTCGAGTGCACTTCAAAGACCTCTGCTATAATTTAAGTTTTATCACCCGCTTCATAGAGCGAGAGTCAGATTATCTTTTTATTGGTGGGCAATTGTGCGTTCAAGCAACTTAGATAAAAACAGTACTTTAGAGATGGATGTCTAAGTGTGTTTCCAAAACCATACTTTAAAAGCACACAAAGCCTTTCAGTGTACAAGAAGATAATACATTGTGTTCCGTCTCACTACAGAATCAAAACAAGTAGACAATTTCAACTTTTCTTTCTTAACTATTTACCTCACAATATTACAGCATCTAAGAACCAGTTAGGAGGGGAAACGAAGCACCTCTCTCATGATTGGTCGATTTCTGATGTAAATCCTCTTGAGACATGCACTCCCATCCTGAGTCTGTATGAAGTCTTTGTGTTTGGAGGAGAACTCCCCTTGGGCTCCTGCACAGTTGTGAGGCAAAGACTCAATCTTACTGTACAACCACAAATGTGTTAGCACTCAGCCTGAGGAAGGAGTACATTACCAGGACAATAGTGTCAATCTCAGATCATTTGACCAGTCAGATTATCCTTCCGTCTGTGATATCGGTAAAAAACTGCAAAAAGATACTTCTTTGTCTTTCTCTCGATTCCTAATCCTGTTCTTCTCCGATGACCTAAATCCCTTTATTAGGGAATTAAGGCACTATGCAGCCACATATTTGCATAAATGCTCTAGGTTTTTTAGGATTATGACCAGCACTGGAAACACACTGTGGAGTGTAAGGGCACCATGTGCTGCCCCATACCTCAGTTAATGTCTAACTACCATCAGTGCCCTAGCAAAAAGGAAAATCCAGTAGTTTTAAAATGCTGCTGGCAGCAAATGCTGCCCCATGGAATGGCCTGCAGAGCACACACAGGGCCAGTAGTGTGTGTAGAGCCCAGTGTAATTAAAGGGTGCTATAGTGCTGGCAGGACTGAGGTGAAGTTTGTCCCACTGACTCAAGGGATATTTCAGGAGGTGTGTTTAAGTGACAGAGTTGTGAGGAATGTTCCAGCAAGACTCTGAATCTTCCTTATTAACAGGGACACTGGGGGTTACAGTGTTTCTTCATTGGAGACCCTGGTTTATTTATTTCCAATCATTCATATATTTCATATAAACGTATATATATATATATATGACTTAAATATATACATATATATTCAATAAATATTGATGAGCTGAGTGATGACAGTGAAAACACAAGAAGTTTCTGTAATTGTTTAGGGCTGTATTTCAGCAAATGGTCTTGTCAAAATGGATTAAATCGTAGAAAACAGTACTCAGGACAATCTAAATAAAGTTAGGGTTAAGGTTGAGCAGTACAGTAAGGATGAAAAACACTACCTAAATACTTTTACTTAAATAATTTACGGTCAGTGTTACTACTGTAGGAATCACATTAGCAGGAATTGAGCTGTGCATTGCCTTGCATCTCTTTCCTCTTCCTCTCTGTCTGAGTCCTTTGGAAGCACATGGATAAATAAAGGTGGAATTCTAACTATGGAGAGGGTTGGTGCTGTTCATGCCTTTCTCTTTCTGTTTTCTGTCTGTAAAACTCAAGAATGTGAAGAGAGGGAATATTTGGGTTATTTCATTCACCCCTTCCCTGCGGTCCTGTCTGGTTCATTCAGAAACATAGCTTTACTTCAATTACAATATTTCAAATTATATTGCAATTGTATTGTGTCAGTCCTACTTAAACAGACACTATACACTGTCTGTACTGTATACAGCAGGGTATTTAGTCAAATGAGAAAGCCCTGAGAGTTTGACCAGCATCAGTTTTGTGACGCTACCAGACACTAGTTCAGCTAGCTAGAAGAAGAGGAGAAAAATCCCCAGAAGAGTTTTGGAATGTGTGTAGTTGGACGTGAAGGTGGTTGGTGTGAAATGAGAGATGAAGTGTGTGATGGAAGCAGATGATCCACTGTGGTGACTCCTTTTCAAGATTTAATGTTTGTATTAAAAATGGTCATTTATTTTATTATATTTACAAAGTGATTCCACCTCATAAAGAATCAGTGCATTGCATTAATGCTTTGACTGGTAGTCATAGTTTCTGGAGCCAGCCCTGCAGGCCAGAAGTGGAAGTGTAACAGAATGTCATTCCCAAGTAGAAGAAAAGGAAAGGAAAATGAACTCCTTGTCATTGTGACACAGCTCACCACTGCACACAACCAAATGTGACCTCTGTATTAAACCCATCACCAAAGTGAACAGTGGGCAGCTTTAAGTGCCCGGGGAGCGTGTGGGGATGATGCCATGCTCAGAGCACCTCTGTGGTAACTTGGAACCTGGTGGACTCAAACCTGAAGCCTTCTGGACCCAAGTCCGCCTCATTAACCACTAAGCCACCATTGACCCAAGTGATTTTCAAATAAGAATTAAAGAGGCAGTCCATTGCTCACAAACAGCCTAGGTATAAGATAAAAATCTTTTTTTTTAAGTTTTGAACTTTCAACCCATAGGTCTGCAACAAACATGTGACACACATGATATATTGTTCACACTTCATGGAAATATGGCATGTTTTTCACACAAATTGCTTTAAAAAAATGGGAATAAACATTGTGTAATTAATGCAGAAATGATTCACAGAACCAGACTGTTGTATGGAGTCCCTCAGCCGTAACTAAAACTGCCAGGTGTCTGTTCCATCTGCCAGCTCTAATCAGAGTGATGTTCCCTGGAAAGCCAGACTCTCACAATACACATCCACTTGTGACATTTTGTGCAACCAACACCAGGCTGTTGCAAATTAGCCACAGAGGAGCCTGTGCTCATGTGCTACACAGTGGTTATGACTCATTAAGACAGACAGATGTGATGGACATGCATTAAAAATAGTTTTATTTAAAAAAAAAAAAAAAGAAGAAGCAAGCCAAGCCAATTAAAAAAAAATCTTTTTTCCCTCCCACCGGCTGTCAGGGCTGAATGACGCAGACCACACATTCTGGTTTTATCTCACAGATACACATGGAAACATATGAACTAATGCTTCTGAAATGACCTGCTGTCCTGTCTCAAGGCAGCATTAAGGAGGAAAAATAGCAAACACTGAACAATGTCACTGTTCGGGTGTATTCACCATAAATAGTTAATTGACATTTATAAGTGGAAACGGTGAGGGATTTCACTGATAACTCTATAAATAAAAATCTCTACAAGAAATGGTGCAACTGTTAAAAATCAAATTAATTACAAATATTGTAGATTAGCTGTTTTCTTACTAATTGATTTGAAAGAAAAGAACAAGTATTAACTGACAAATGTATTTCTTAAGACCAGTGGTTCTCAAACTTTTTCTTCTCTGTACCATCTAAGAAAACAGTGATCTCTCTGAGTACCTCCATGATGACCAACAATAGAATATAGCAGCATAGGCCTTCACTGTTAGCTTCCACCACACAGGAGAGAGGTTTAGAAAGATGTTTAGAAAGATATTTTTGTTTAAATGTTGTATTAATTGTGCATGGTATGTTTCAGATTTATTCAATTGAAGATATAAACGTGAAAATATGAATTTTCCCCACGTACCACTAGATAGCTGCGGTACCACTGTTTGAGAAACATTGATCTAGACAAAAGACCAAAAAAATGTACCTTCTTTTTGAGATTTCTCAATGAATCAGTTACTTTCTGACTAGTGTGCATATCTAGTTTTTCTTAACTTTTCACTGTAAACCAAAGGCCAAAGGAGTGTAAGCAAGGAAGGCTCAGGAACACTTTTGTTTTTTGTTTTTGGTCAGCAGATCATTGCCAGACCTCAATCTGCACAAATGACAAAATGTGTCGATTGATATAAATAAATAGTTCCTGACTGGCATGACTGAAGTCCAGATCAGTTTCCAAATGTAATTGTAAACAGCACAATGAAAGAGAAACAAAGTACTGTTAACTAGGTTCCCTTTAGCATCGAGTCTTTCAAACAGCATAAATGGTGCAAATGCTGCAACAGCACACTAAAAATAAAACCACAATGAAAAAGGATGGGCAGGGGGCATAGAAGGGAATTCTTTGTCTCTCTCTCATTAGTATTGCAGATATCCATTTCTAAATTAGAAAATGTTGTGTAAATGTTATGTTGGTTAAAAAAGGAAAAAAAAACAACTCCCTCAAAAATAAAGGTAATGTCTTGACTGTATCTGTGTGTCTTTTTTTTCCCCAGTGGTCATCATGTGTTTGGGAGCCGACGGAATACGAGAGGTCATGCTGGCAGCACACAGACGGGGCCTGACCAATGGCAGTTATATGTTCTTTAATGTTGAACTCTTCAATGCCTCGTCCTACGGTAAAGTCAACCACTTAACAGCTTTAAATGTGGTGACTTGTATGCAATTTGTATCAAAAGCTTGACAATTCACCAGAATCTGTTTGAAGTGATAAGGTATGCTGAAGTAGGACTGATGTACTGTAGTGTTTTGGGATCCACTGTCACATACAACCATTTATTGAATGTATGTGTGATCTAATTATTTTTATTTTATACATTTATAAAAAAGAAATTACAATTATTTATAGAGTAGTGTGGGATAGCTTGGTTTACTACATATTGGTCCTTTATCATGATTTAAGGACCAATATTCATTATACAAAAATGGTGTGTGTTTCCATGCATCCTAGAATATGTATTCTCCAAGGTCTTTTATTTGTTTGTGAGGACAGTGTAAATATCCAAACTCTATAAAGCTGCAGTTGTTCGTTACTGTTGGTCCATTGAAACTAGTCATGTTATAAATTAATGGAGTTTTATATTCGGAAAACCTGCCTCATCTTTTTTTTTCTTTCACCTCAGGAAACGGGACATGGAAGAGAGGAGATAAATACGACAACGATGCGAGACAGGCCTACGCTTCCCTGAACACATTGACGCTGCTCAGGTCAATCAAGCCCGAGTTTGAGAACTTCACTATGGAAATGAGACAGTCCAGTGAAAAACCAGAACTTAGCAACTGCAAGGACTGTGAAAGTGTACGTACGACATCTGTGCCTGAAACCAGGGTGTATGACTTTCCTCTTCTTTTCAATGGCAGTTCAAGGGTCATAACAGATCATCTGTCTCCATCTCACATGTCTCTCATCTCCATCTCTGCCTTTTGTCTCTTAGACAGAGTCACTGTCTCCAAACCAGACATCATAGCAGGTCTCACTACTGACTGCTGCTCTTCTGCTGTCACAGATCTTGACTTTCCATCTTGCCTTTTCTAAAATTCTTACTCATTTATTCAATTCAGAATTTATATGAATGCCCCATGAGTGCAGTGTTAACATTAGATGTGTGTCTATTTTTAACCTGGCAGTGAATAAAAGCGTGTGGGTGGGTATGCATTTTAAGACATCTCAGTAAAACAGCTTGTTAGGCGTAGGCAATATACAAAAGAGAACACAGAACATTAGGACACAGCAGAGGATCCAAGTTTATCAACTCCTACACATTTACTCCTGTAGGCAGAGGGAGGAAACTTGTTGGTAGTTGAAGGAATAGGAGGAGTAGGTATTACAAGATAAGTATTATAAAATAAATGCTGAAAAATCAAGGCACAACAAAAAAGTTAAAACCTCAATATTTATTATTTTCCCCTAAACCTAAATTCTGGACCTTGCCTCACCTTCTGACATTTTATGCTTCTTAATTTCTGTGCGATAAGACAGGTATCACTAAAATGAAATAAGGTAAAACACATTGTTACAACAACAACAATAATGTAATTATTCATAAGTGTACATTGTTTTGTTGTATATATATATATATATATAATAACAATAAGATGTACTAAGATTGACTAAGCTTTTTAGTCTTCTTTCTCTTCTTCTTCTTCCCATTACTATTATTATTAATTATTAGTATATAATTATATATATATATATATACATACATATACATATATATATTAATACAATTTAGGAAACTTAAGAAACTAAAATGTAGGCGTGTCACCTTTACACCTATGTCTGAAAGGTTTCTGCCGTTTGGTTGACGAACTACACAACTGCGAGCCATCAAATGTGTTTATGTGGAAAAACGTTGTAAAAGACTTTAGACGCTAAGTAGCTGCAGCCACCTCACTACTACATCCTCTTCATGTACTACTGCAGGTCAACATGTTTGTTGAGGGATTCCATGATGCCATGTTGCTGTATGCCATCGCTTTACATGAGGCCATGAAGAGTGGATACAGTAAGAAGAACGGAACAGCGATCACTTCTCGCATGTGGAACAGGACATTTGAAGGTAAAACGCTTTCTTCTCTTGTTTTCCTTCTTATTATCAAACATTAGCCTCCTTAGCAGGGTACCCAGTGGTAACCTGGCGAACTCCTAACCCCCCGCTCCTCTACCTCCTATAGTTCTTCTAAACATTGCAGACCTTATACAAAAATCTAGTTAAGTTACAACAAAAACAGGATTCCTTCCAATTATAGCACCATGGACACATTTTTGACACTCTGTGTGATCATGTCAACATTGACTTAACCCCTGCTGCTGCTGCTGCTGCTGCTGCTGCTGCTCAGAGGGCCATGTTTGATTGATCTTTCCACTGGCCTCATGAATTGTAGTTATGAATTGTTCCATGAGTGTCATATTCAGGAAAAAGGTCAGCCACAGTGGACAGTTCAGTGGTTCTGGAGGAATAAATTGAAACTGACATTTGAAGACTGTCTATCGAAATATTCTGGGCTGCATGAAAGTGTCTGTAGAGCATCTAATGCCAACGTGGATCCATCATAACAAAATACAGATCACACATCATATATAATTAAATGATTACATATATAATGTTGTGCAGTAGTGTAGCAGTTATTACAGCAGCCCCCAGACCACATACTTATTGGTGCCTCCTGTGGCAGCTTCTTTGCATTGCTCACAATTTCCCCATTGTGGGATGAATGAGGGACTTCAGTTATTATTATTATTAATGTAAATATAATCATTATTTTATATTATTAATTCCAAGACTCTTTCAAATGCAGCTATATTTTGGAGACAGTTTTGGAGTATTCTGGTGTCTCATTATTTAAAATAAATCAGACTTTGTTGGGGTTTTTTTGTTTTGTTTTTTACAGCTTTTTACTAAACATAGTTTGCGAGCTTACCAGTGCATGAAAAAACAATTCCGAGTCAAAGGGGAAAAGAAAGTAAAGACATTGTTTGTTTTTCGAAATAAATTGCCATGCAGACAAACGTTTCTGGTTGTTTGTTTTTTCAAATAACCTAAATGAAAAAAATATTTATTCTGTACCAACTAAATCCTTTAGTTTGAAACAAAAACATATGTAATGTGTGTATATATCCTAATAAAATGGCCTATTTTAAAGGTGAAGTGGAGTCTCTGTACATTTTTTGAATATTTCTTTAACACAGTAGTTATGTCATGTGGTCATTGTGTTTGACAGGAATTGCTGGCCAAGTGTCCATAGATATAAATGGAGACAGAAACGGAGATTTCTCCCTGATGTCCATGACGGATGTTGAGGCAGGAACCTATGAAGTAAGAATACAAACACACTGGTCTTCTCTAAGGCCTTACTGTATATTGGTATTTCCATATGAGTGTGTCTGTGTGTGTTTACATCAACATGTAAAAAAATGATGTGTAAAAGAAATAGAACAAAAAAAAAGAGCTGAATAAATGGCATTTAAAGTTGGTCTGAAAACATTTTGAAACACAACACCACAACATTTATAAAGACAATTTAATGATATCTAACCAAACCCTACTGGTAAATGGGATATCTTACTAGTTATGTGCACACCTTAGAGATACAATTTAAGCACACTAACCATCAACACTAAGAACTTCTGGACACAGGCCTGGCTTGCGTCAGAACAGTTTTGTCAAGTGTTGGGCAGGAAGACAATCTGACTGGAATAATGTATTGTGTGGGGAACTAAAGATTGATTCATATTGTTGAGGGGGAACAGCATCATAGATCTTTTTAAAACAACTGTCATATGTTCACCAAGCAGACGTCAAGATTTGTCTTTCTGTCCCGGTAATAAACAGGAAAAAAAGCTGTTGATTTATCTGGATCAACCATGATTAGTCATTAGTCTTCATTACTCCATAGTTACCCTTTGATTAATCACTTTAACAAGTTATATCGATGTGTTCTTCTATGTTGTAGATGGTGGCCAACTATTATGCTGAAAATAAATCTTTTGTGAAGCTGCCAGCCTTCAACGACGAACATTTTACTTTGAAAGGATCACCTATATCACAGCCAGAGATGACAGACAAATCATGTAAGTTCACTACTGTTCATTCGAGCCTGTCACCTACTGCATGTTCTGTATATGTGCAGGTTTTGACAAGTGACTGCCTCCCACAGGTGGGCTAGGAGTGTCAGCGCTGACCGGAGTCATAGTGGGAGCTGTGCTGGGAACAGCTATGCTTATAGGATTCTACTTTTTCAGGTATTTATATATTTCTTTTGTCCTGATTAGGTAAGGGCTAATAACATAGTTGTAAAAAGTATTTTATCATACAGTGTCACTCTCTAATATGGTGTTTTTCTACCTTGGGGTTGCAACGCCGGGTTGTGTTGTCTGGAAGTCAAATGGGGTCTTGTCTAGTAATTACTGTTAAAAATATTTCAACACAGTATAACAAACATAATCAAAAAGTAATGCTAGAAGAAAAATGTTTCCGGGATTGGTAAAAAAAAGTGTGATGTCAAAATGGGGTCAAAGGCCAAAAAAGTTTGGGAACCGCATATTTGATAAAAACTTTAAACTATGTTTTCACTTTAAACACATAAATGCTAAATTAAGCTGCTAACAGGATTTCTAACCTCCCTGTAATGTGTTGGTTCCTCTGTAGAAAGAACTACAGGATCACTGTCGAGCGTCGCTCCCGCATTGAGGAGAGCAACACAGGGAAGCACCGTCAGCTCCGAGAAGACTCCATCAGGTCGAACTTCTCAGCGGCGTAACCAGCGTTCTTGGCTAGCTCTGACTTAGCGGAGCATCACACATGTGAATGTGACCAAAGACTGAGATTTTATGTGTTTGTATCCTTCTGTGTTTTGACTTCTTGTAACTCAGGACAGTTGTAAAACAGTCACAAAGCACCACTTACTTTGGACTTGTAAGTTCCTCCATACAAAGGTATATGATTGTAATGGTGTATAGACAGCTTTGGCCATATGGATCTTTGAATAAGGATGGTTGACATGACTGTGAACGATTCAGGACAGACAGTGTGTGTGGGTTTTTGTGTGTGTGTGTATGTGTGTGTTTGTGTTAACATGCACAACACGGATGGTGATGTCTACTGTACTTTTGCCTTTCAGGTTAATGCACAGAGGCTTGATGTTTAGGTGAGTGATTGCAGAAAAAAATGGCAGAGCAAAACTTGATATAGCTGGAGTTAACTGATGAAAATTGATATAGGCCAGATCTATATCTACATGTATAGGCTATAAGCTACTGATATTAAGCTACTGATGTAATGTTTTCACTTCACCTTGGTAAACTACCAGCAGCCTCCATCAAACCCAGTTTATTTTCTTCACATCACTGCTGATTCTTTTACCACTTGAGATCAAGGCAGAAGCAGACATTCTGTTTCTATGTTATTCTTTCATAAATACACAATAAAACTGTGGTACTGCTCTCTGTATAATTTTAGAACTCCCTGTCTATTAATAAATACAAATGCTGGGTTTCCCTATAAATTTGGTAAACAGGAGAGTGAGCAATTTTCATGAATTTCCAAACTTTCTAAATCTGTTGACAATGAAGCATCTAATGTGTTTCTGTGATCTTGGTGGTTTCCCCGACTCACCTCACCAACAGAGGACATTGAAGCTAAGACTAAATGTTGATTTCATTTCCTGTAACTCTGGATGTTGGTTGTATTCCAGCTTTAACTCCACTTGTTGAGCAGATTGTTGCTTAAATTCCTTTTTTTAATGATAAAAGATTTTTTATGCCGAGTTTTTCTTTTTTTAATATATATTTAATTTTAATACAATTTTCCCATAATGAACAAATTGGTCTAGCCAATTTTTGGTTCATTCTGTTCTCATTTTTAAAGTCATTTTTCTCAAAGAAGTGATTTAATTAATCAGCAGCCACATTCCTTCAGTCTTTGTATCCCTTTTTTTCTTTTTTTATTACCTTTTTACCCCCTTTTTCTTGAAGCCCTCAGCATCCCCAATTTCATTTTATGAAGAAAGAAACTTTTTTTTATGAAATATGGCTTGTGATCTAGTATGCAGGGGGCAATGAAGGCCCATGAAAACAGTTTATGACTGGCTCCACATTCTAATCTTCTTCCTGCCCCATTTCCCATCCACGGTAAATCCCAGTAGGTTACCCAGTCCCAGTGAGGCGTGTAGGAAGATCATCCAGTGTAAAAGCGCTTTAATATTAACTAATTATGTGATTTAATTATTACCATTATATTCATTTTGAGAAAGTGGAGTAGAGACTTTTACCCATGGATATTTATGTGTGATACAGTATACTTTATGAAAAGCAGAGACTGCAGAAAGGCCATAATTTTCCCTTGCTTCATCAGTGAGGTTTAGATTTGTATAAAGGTCTCTGTCAGTGACATTCTTGAGCAGAGTCTAAGGACAGGGGTTTTTTTTAGAAACAAAATAATGTCAGTGAACTTGTTAAATAAACTCAGAACGTCTGCTGGGTCACTTTGTGTAGTGACAGTAAACAGACAGTAATACACCAACAGCAGCAGTGTCAGTAAGGAGCACCACATGCACTTCCTTTATGTAACCATCTGTATAATGTTACTATAATGACTTTTGTTATCTGGTAAGGTATAGTGACCTTAATGTATTTAAATTATTTCCTGTTATTTATAACACCAGTATTTCAAAAACCTGTTTTCCTCTGGATTTTCAATTAAACGTCCTCCTATTGGGTTTCTTCCTGATTATTTCTGGATCATAATCACAGTTGATCACAAGTGTGGCAGCAGAACACTGCGTTAGAAGGGTGTACGCTTTGTTGTTTGATTAGAGTTCCTAGAACGCTCCTTATGGTATAAAGTATGTTGCTAATAGTACAGTGAGCTACTTCACCTGTTTCCTTCAGAGGTCACCACAGCAGCATGAACAGGTGTTCTGGCAGATCAGTATACACTATCAGAATAGCATAAGGGGCCCATAAGGGACACACTAAACTGAGAGGAGATTAATACACTGTATGCTATTCTGAAGGGCAAAATACACCTAACATGACTATATAGGTGTAGTTTTATCATACTGTATTCTATGGGTCAGATGGTTGAATTACACCTATTGGAATAATATACGTGTGTAATCCAATGGTTTTCTTTTTGTGCACAGACTCAGTAGATAACATACAGAAGGTACAGAAAGTATTTAGACCCTTCAATTCTTCACTATGTTATATTGCAGCCATTTGCTAAAATCATTTAAGTTCATTTTTTTTCCTCATTAATGTAGAGGAAAAAGCACTCCATAATGACAGAAAAACACAATTGTTGACATTTTCTGCAGATGTATTAAAAAAGAAAACCTGAAATATACATGGTCATAAGTATTCAGACCCTTTGCTCAGTATTGAGTAGAAGCACCCTTTTAGCTAGTACAGCCATGAGTCTTCTTGGGAATGATGCAACAAGTTTTTCACACCTGGATTTGGGGATCCCCTCCAGTTCCGTCAGGTTGGATGGTGAATGTTGGTGGACAGCCATTTTCAGGTCTCTCCAGAGATGCTCATTTGGGTTTAGGTCAGGGCTATGGCTGGGCCAGTCAAGAATGGTCACAGAGTTGTTCCAAAGCCACTCCTTTGTTATTTTAGCTGTGTGCTTAGGGTCATTGTCTTGTTGGAAGGTGAACCTTCAACCCAGTCTGAGGTCCTGAGCACTCTGGAAGAGGTTTTCTTCCAGGATATCTCTGTACTTGACCACATTCATCTTTCCTTCAATTGCAACCAGTCGTCCTGTCCCTGCAGCTGAAAAACACCCCCATAGCATGATGCTGACACCACCATGTTTCACTGTTGGGATTGTATTGGGCAGGTGGTGAGCAGTGCCTGGTTTTCTCCACACATACCGCTTAGAATTAAGGCCAAAAAGTTCAATCTTTGTCTCATCAGACCAGAGAATCCTATTTCTCATAGTCTGGGAGTCCTTCATGTGTTTTTTGGCAAACTCTATGCGGGCTTTCATATGTCTTGCACTGAGGAGAGGCTTCCGTCGGGCCACTCTGCCATAAAGCCCCGACTGGTGGAGGGCTGCAGTGATGGTTGACTTTGTGGAACTTTCTCCCATCTCCCCACTGCATCTCTGGAGCTCAGCCACAGTGATCTTTGGGTTCTTCTTTACCTCTCTCACCAAGGCTCTTCTCCCAGGATTGCTCAGTTTGGCTGGACGACCAGGTCTAGGAAGAGTTCTGGTCGTCCCAAACTTCTTTCATTTAAGGATTATGGAGGCCCATCCTGCAGAATTTTTATGTAATCCTGGCCAGATCTGTGCCTTGCCACAATTCTGTTCCTTCGACCTCATGATTCTCATTTGCTCTGACATGCACTGTGAGCTGTAAGGTCTTATATAGACAGGTGTGTGCCTTTCCTAACCAAGTCCAACCAGTATAATCAAACACAGCTGGACTCCAATGAAGGAGTAGAATCTCAAGGAGGATCAGAAGAAATGGACAGCACCTTAAATATATGTGTGTCACAGCAAAGGGTCTGAATGAGGAAACACAATGAACTTAAATGATTTTAGCAAATGGCTGCAATATAATAGTGAAAAGTCTAAGGGGGTCTGAATACTTTCCGTACCCACTGTATACTATTTTAACAGTCTCTAATCTAATCCGGTAATCTATCAGAACACAGGATGAGATCAGAGAATCATCTGAAAGCTTTTTACATGGACTTGTTTACACTTCTGCAAACCACCCAGATAACCTGGGTGTTGCCTGATTCTCTCCAGGACACACTGAAGCACTAGTCTGCCTTTCTGCACTAATTTCCATCGTCTGTCCTTGACAATCGTCTCGTGAATGTCTGCAAATATGCTCATTTACTGTGCACTTCACTGGTTTTGTTGAAAACATTTCCATTCTCGTCCAAGAGGCTTCGTCAGTTCTTACGACTCCTGACAGAACCGGAAAAACCTCTTGGACAAGGCATGAAATGTTTTATCAGAACCACAGTTCCACTTGCTACCGACTAAACATCAGAGTACTATGAATACTGTATGTTCTCCCAGCCCAGCGCATTCACTCTTTTTTTTTTTTGGTCTCTAGTCCAAGTTTCATCCTGGCAAACTGTGTCACTGCCAAACAGACATAAACCAAAGCCAGGAGAAGGAGAACAGACAGTGCTGGCATCACATGGCCATGTGGAGAGTGAAAATGAGAAATGTGTTCCAGGTGGTCCAGGAATTAATAAGTTCCTCTCCGTAGATCGTAGTCTGGCTTTTAATGGTCCTCTGATTTTATAAAAGCACCATTATTGAAGCCAACTGCAATTACACACCACTAACAACTAGGCCCTGCCAAGGAGATTATGTTTTTAGGTGGGTTAACTGTCTGCAAGTAAAATTGGATTTAAAAGTAAAAGACATATTTTTGGGGGGTGTGGGACCCAAGAAGAAAAAAGGATAATATTTCATAGTGGATTTGGATGTACAGAATAAAAACATGCACAGTTAACCTTTGAAGATGAAAGAATTTGTTTAATAATACCACAACATAGTAAGTAGTCCGATGAATGTCCACTGATGTTTTCAAGTTTCACAAAAGATCATTCAAATCTGCCAAGAGTTTTAAAAGTGGAATGTAAGACATAACATTAGAATCCAAACACTGCCTTGGTTGATTTTTTTGATATTTTTAAGTGGCTCACTGCCAAATGCAACTTTATGAAAACATCAAGTTAAAGTAGAAAAAAAAGTTTACTTTTTTTTCCTCTATTGCCTTGGACATTAATGTCAAACATACACATTCCATAACTTAAGAGACAAACTAGAAGCATTAAGAAAGACCATGAAGTGGGTTTCTGTGAAGCAGTATCCTTAGTATTCCTGGAAACCTCAACATGAGTTTTGGTTCAGTTATGCAAACTTGACTTGTTTTGAGTTCTGTTGAATGTATTTGTGTCTGATTTCTCCTTAAGTGCCAGTTTCAACCACTAAGTTGATTTTTTTATAAAATGACAAAATCTGTTGGTTTTTTTTTCTGAAAACAAGCCATTCTGATTTCACCACCTTTGTGAAGTAACAAAGCAGTCCATTATAATAGTGAGTAGTACTGGCTCTATTCCTACTTGACTCCTGATGTAAAGCTGTCCTTAGATCTTTCCACCAAGAGGTGAGCTGAATATGCAGCAGCTCAATAAATCTGAAGGCAAAGGCACAGAAACTTTGTCACAGATCTAGTCATGTTCGAAACGTCATGTTTTCCTTTCTTCATAGATGTAGTGTTCTGATCCAGTGAGGTCAAACTGGTGTTTGGTGTATGAGTTTGAGAGTAAAGATCATCTACCTTCAATATGAGGTAGATGATCTCTTGTGGTTGGTCATGTAGGACACACAGGTCAAGTTGTCAAAGACTGCTTTATTCAGTTGAGTGCTGAAGGTTTGCCTCCAGACCAGGAACACCTGCCTTTTTTATCTACTCCATCTGCCAAATCAAACTCACTCTTATTAAACACCTCCCTAAACCCTGAACTGCTGGGCAGAGGAAAGTCAACAATTGCTAGGCATTCGAAAAAAAAAAAAAAAGATTTAACAGGAACGTAATGATTTCTGAAACTTACTTGTCTTAGTGTAAAAGAAAGAAAGTCTTTTTCTGGCAAACACTCACTGGTGTATAGAGGCAACATCCATCCATCCATCCATCCATCCATTTTCATTCGCTTATCCGTTACTGGGTCGCGGGGGCAGCAATCGCCACCCAAATCACATTGCACCGTACCAACCCACCTAAACCTTCCTGCAGGTGGTGAGTCCACTGGAAGGTACTAGAGGCAACTTAGGTTTGACAATTTCTTTTTTCTTCAAATTTCTTCTGCTGCTTTTTTTTTTTTTTTGTTTGTTTGTTTGTTGTTTTTTGTTTTTTGTTCTGGAGAGATCAGGAAAAAACATTTAAAAGAAAAATCCTGTTATACTCCAGGGTTTCCTACAGTACCGTTTCCAATCCAGTGCAAACTATTCCAGCAATGTGTCTGGGCCGTTTTTCAACCATCACTTATGTGGTTTTTCGAAGGCTTATGCATGCATGCATATATTTGAATGTTTTAAAACAAGACATTCTTCATTTTCAGGAAAGCCGCAAAAACAACCTATTACACAACAGCTGAGCCAGAGAGCTGACAGGAACAGGAGCAAGGCGTCCATCAGTATGAATACTGATGGATGTTTCCTCTCAGCACTGTGCTTATCCCACAATCCCCTTGTTTATTTATGCTCCCCTTTCCCCTTTACATACAATTGACACAGCTGAGGTGGACGCTGCAGGTCAGTGTTCATTTGGAATAGCTGAGAAAAAATTAAATTATTATTATTAATATATTGTATAAATTATATTATATTATATATTATAATATATGTTATATTGATCGCAAACTTAGGAAATTCTTGTGTTACCAGCAAATCTGCTGCCACATGCACGATGTGTGTGGTTCCTAAAAATATTTAATATATTTCAATCATAAGAATAATTTCACATGATTATGTGATTAAAAAAAAAGAAGATATTCCTAATACTGGACCTTTAAAATACGGTTTCCAAACTCTTGGGTCAAGGCCCCCTTGATAGTTATTATCATTAATTGAATTTTGCCCATGAGGCAATTTTATTTTATTTTTTAATTGTGTTATTTATAATTAAAAACCTGTAGTTGATCGTTAATGAGGAGAAAATATGTTTACTATCTGTTTACACTG